GGGTTGTGAGTTTTTTGGTTGGTTTTGTTTTGTTTTTGGGGGTTTTTTTTGGTTTTTTTTTTGTGGGGGGGGTGCGTGTGTTTAGTTTTGTAATATTCTGATCTTAAAGAGACTAAGGGTATTTTGGATACCTGAAACTGTTCTTATGTAGCTCATAGCTAGCAGGTCTATACATAAGTTTTTTTGTTTCCTTAGCCTAAGAAGTTTTCTGTAAAATAAAGCAAAATAAAATTGTTGGATTCCTCCCTAACAGTCTTAGAGTAGTATGAGAAACCAAAATTACTGAAGCAAAAGCTTGACCAGCAAAAGAATTGCTTGCAAGCAGTTATGCATACCAAAGACCATGTTTTCCTAAGGACTGTGTTTAGTTCTGCTGTTGAATTTCTCCTGGAGGCAACCTTGTGCATAAAGTGGTGTGAGCAGTAACGAGATGATGTGTGACTGGCAACTGGCAATGATGCCACTGATTTTTCTTTTGGGACATCTTGAGGAAAATACTCTTGTCCAGTAACTGGAGAATGTTTTCAGTATGCCAGCCAAAAGCATTAGTTTGCATTTCCTTTTTTTTAGGAATATGGAATTGCAGGGTTCTGTAAGCCTGTTTGTTCAAAGAATTGATTCAGATCTTGAACAGACTTGTATTTCAGGCAGCTGTGGGATTTTCTGTGAGCTTTGTCTGGCAGAGCGCTCCCTGGCCTCTTTTACTCTGCTCTGGGTTACCAACTGCTGCGGTGGGAGGCTGCAAGAGGTGGCATAGAGCCAGCAATCCCCTTTCCAGCCATGGCAGCAGATGTTGTGCATTTCTGAGTCCCTCAGATTGGGTTGTTCTTTCACAGCGTTGCTGGAATTGGTTCACTGCACTTTTATGATGTAGATGTACAGAATGAGTTTTTTAAGAGAGTTTTGGTTTCATTTTCTTTTTTCTTACTTTTTGAATGGTTTCTGAGACAATGAGGAACCTACTTGCCTGTTGTCCCCAGAGTACTTTAGGTACTGGGATTTTTCTGTAATAGTATCTTAGATAAGCAGAGATTTTTTTCTTGCAGAATAGACAGTACTTCTAGATATACTTCTTTGCTACACCTTTTTACCTTCCTCTTCACTTCTTCCTTCCTCCGTCCTTAGATCCAGTCAGCTCAAATATATATTTGGGTGCTTGAATTTGGATGTTGATGTTAATGGTGATCTCCTGAGTCCCAGGGATGACCTGAAGTCTTAAAGGCCTTGATCTTCTCCTACCAGAAACTAGGGGAAGAGTCACTCGGAGAACCTTGGATGAGGACATGATTCCATCTTCTAAGCCAGCCTCCTTCTGCAGGCTGCCAAGCTAATAGCTTTGTGCCATACCCACAGTGAGGTGGACAGAAGGAAATAAGCTTTTTTCCTAAATGCATAGGAGCTTCTAAAAATGGAAATTTTGGCCTAGAGGGCTAGGTCTTGAAAGAGGGCTAGGTCCTGAAAGAAATTGGAGGAGGATCCCTGCAATGAATACTGTTTGGTGATGGTGCTGGCTACCCTCGGGTGGAGCTGAATTTCAGTAGCACATAGACAGGATGCACACATTACTTTAGTGCACTTGCTTTTTCCTGAGAAGTTTACATAACCTTAGAAATTACATGAACTTCAGATATGCTGTCTGAACAAGATCTATGTCAATGCAATCTAATTTGTATTCAGAGATAAGACTTTGCTGACTATGAACAGTGGCTGAGACAGCTCCTGAAATATTTTGAATGTGCTTTCTGTCTTCTCAAGCACTGCTTGAGAGTTCAGTTGAAAGCCAGTGCACAAAGCTGTCTGATAGAAAATGATGTTGTGCTATTTATTCTGTATTAGGGCTTTTCAGCACTGCAACTGAAAAGAGAATTGATGTATATTGAACTACACTAAAACAAACCTGTGGTTGAGCGCTTTTAGGGGAAAAGAGAGGCTGAGCAGAGGACATACAGTTAAGAACTAAGTTGATAAACTGGTAGTGGTTAAATAATGACAAAATACTGAGCAATGTGCAGTAATAAGAATCACTGCTGCACAGTTACAAAACTCTACAATATTACAAATGGAGAGATGAATTCTAAATTAAATGTATTTGCAATGAGTTGAACTTCTTGAAATGACATAAGAAAAATCCAGAGAGCTTTCTGTACAATTGAGAATACAAGAGGGCTTTTGTATCTAAGGAGCAATAAAAACTCAACCCAACATTTCAAGCAAAATGTTTGTGAGAAAGGAAGATCATGAAGCGGCTGAGGAACAACTTAGTTTAGAACAAGAACCAGAGCATATAAAGAAGCATATGAAACACAGCCCTTAAAGAACTGCAAACTCTTGCCTGGGAGGCTTAATAGTAACTCTAATTTTCATCTCTATGATATGTATGTTATCTTTTGATAGCATAAAGCAGTGAATAAATCAAAACAAATTAGGCTTCTGCTTTTAGATTTTTATGCTGTTGCTCTTGGACATTTTATTTGCAATACAGAGTGCAAAATAAAAATGTCCACATCTTTTATTACAGTTCAGGTGCACTTTAGGTGGTTGAAGTCTGTCCCATCCAGGTGTGCACAAAATCCGGATCTCGGGGAGAGAAAGGAGTAAAGCAAGCTGGACCTAGAGCCCTCTCTGCTGGATGGCTGGGAAACAACACTTCAATCAGGAAAAAATAAGAATTCTGAGGTAGAAAAGAAAACCTGAGAGGCTAGTGCAAGAAATCTAGACATAAACCACAACAATTATCTAATTGAGCTCTTCCTATTACAAGCAGATGAAATAACATACATTTATTGCATGAAATTGCCTTCTTTTATTAAATCATCAGGAGATATATTTTAATGATAATTCTTTTCTTTTGAGCACGTATGGTATCTGAGGGGTATAAAGGAACTAACATACCGTCTTAGAAATTTGAAAAATTCATAATATCTGTGCCAAAGAAGAGTATGCAAGTAAAGAGTTTTAAAACCATGTATAGCATATGAGGTGCAGGTGGGTGTGGTATTTTTGTAGTAATGCCCAAAAGAAATTAACACTTACCATAGGAGCTGTAGCAATATATGGAAAATATGCTATCCCAAGACAAAGTACCTTTTTGAAAGGGCACTTGGCAGGATGTATCACCTTTTCATGTGTCTGTTTTAAAATGAAATATATTTTCCAGTAAGAGGGGAAACCCTATCATAGTAATTCAAGTCTGTATCTTATTCCTAAAGTGAAAGCAAACACAGACTTTTGAATGTTTTTCTTTCAGAAAATTTGACTGGGACAGGGGAAACGAGAGATGCAGATAAGTGAATTGCCTCTTTATTGTCAGCACTGAGAAATCCACTAAAGCTATGCAGCTCCCTAAAGTCCACCAATTTGGAACTGATGCTGAAGTGTGTGTACACGTGAGCACACATGCACAGCTTTTATGTGGGGTTTTTTAAGCTAAAAAAAGTCATCTGGAGATAAGAGGGATCAGCTCTGAATATACTTGTGGGAAATGTTGATTCTCCCTTCTTCCATGGTCTTTCCAAGGATGGTAGCAACTGAAGACACTCATGACATATCTGGACACAGAAAATTCATGTAGAGATAAGAGAAAACAGGGTTTGTGTATGCTTTTTGGAAACCATTGAAATCTTGTGTGCATGGAAAAGAGCTATTGACCTTTATTAAACTTGGTTTTCCTTCATTTTTATGTGTGGGAGAAGCAAGTTCTGGAAATGTTTGATGTTTGGTAAAGTGTTCATAATGAAATTTTCCTTTTCCTGGTTTTTTTTTTTTTTTTGGGTCATCATTTTACTTCATGGTGACATCTTGGTTAATAACATTTTAGTGCAGATAGGGTTGCCTTAGGGATTTTCTTTTGGGTAAAGGAGTGCGAATTTGTTCTCTTGGAAAGGCACGAGTAGTGCAAATGAAGGATGATCTGCCAGTACTGATTGTGGTATGGAAGCAGTGCAGGCGTGATGCCAAAGGAGGGCTGAATATGTCTGTGGAGCCACCAACCAGTGGCTATAATGTGAAACAAATACATGGATTTCATAGGTCATTCATGGAAGAAACTCCCCTGACATTCCTTTTTATCCTCTAAAACTATCAAAGGTCTGATCCTGTCCATCATTCCTGCCTGGCTGTAGTTACCATCGCAAAGTAAAGCTTCAGTAGTCAGAGTACTTGGCACTAGTGTGCTAAACCCATGGTCGTGTTTCTGCTGTCAAGACTTCTTTCTTACAATAGCTTGCATAATTTCTGAAGATGTTTTAGACAGATAGACCTCATTAGAAAGCAGCTATTTAGCAGTCTCTGCCAGTCCACAAGCTGGATTTATGTATTAAGCATTCTCTGACTGTTCATGTAACAGACTAAATACTTTTAAATGTCTTTTCTGGATGCAATAAGGAAATTAAGTAATTCTGTATGGATTTTTCTTACTGTAAGTGAATGTGAATTTGAAAAACAGAGTAAGTTTTCATGAAACTCACTATGGCTGTGTTTCTGTTGACTGACTTCTCTATAGGTGCTGGACCAGGCACTCTCACTATAAAATGATAGTGATGACTTTATTGTATCACAGAGTTGTGTTAAAAATTTGCATGAACATTTGAGATATCCTGAAAAATTTCCAAATATTAAAAGCATATTGTTTACCCTGAAGATGAAAATTATCCATGCTTTGGGTTTAGAAGATAGCCAGACAGATGAGTGAATGAGAATATACTGCTGCCCTCTTCTTCAGCCGAAACTTAATTAATTATTTTGCAGGTAACAGTTTTGCAGTGTCAGAATACCTTAACTCATTCTTTGCTGGGATGGAGTTTTGTACTGTACAGGCCTGTTCTCTTATGACTCAATAAAAACTTTTTCCAAAATCATTGCATAACTGTTAATTCTGTTTAATATTTAATATTTTCTTCTGATGCTGACTTTACCTGTGTTATATTTTGCTCCAATATTTTACTAAAAGAGATATGTCATATATAAATATACCTGGGTTTTATTTTTCTTTTTTTCAGGGCATGGCTTTTACCTTGGAGGAGAGGCAACAGTTGAATATTCATGGATTATTGCCACCTTGTTTTCTTGGTCAAGATGCCCAGGTTTATAGTATTCTTCAGAATTTTGAAAGGCTGACATGTGACCTAGATAGGTAAAGTATGGCTTTGAAACTTTATCCTATTTATCAAATCATGAGTCCCTCATTTATTTTTTTTTAATGGTAATGCAGATGAAATTTTGTGGGTTTTTTTTTCTGAGCAATAGTGGTTGATGATTTGGAATCATTAAGCTAACTATATACTTCTGCTAAAATGCTTTCTTCAAAAAATCAACTCCTACTTCAAATTGTAATATTCCAGTGCTGTTCAGGTGAACTTACTATTTTCAATAACTAAATGATACAAAAGTCATCAGAATCAAATGAACTCATGTGAAACTGAAAGTCAGTAATGTCTTTACATGCATATAGATACATACACATTAAAACAAATACATAAATTAATAAAATTTATAAAATATTATAAAATTATTATATACTATGGTGTTATGGTTGTAGTTTTTTAAGAAAAAAGCCGGGGAGGGCTTTAAATATTTATGAATATTCAGTATTCATTATATGTTTTATAAGCCCTAGAGTCAAACATTATTTCTTTATTTTTCCCTTGTGCCCCAATTTCTCTGTTGTGGGTTGTCTTGTTATCCATAAGTAATACATGGCTTTTAGATACCTGTCTGCTGTTGGCAAGACTTTTTTATAATATAAAGTTACCACAACCTTTGGGTTTTGTGGAGGTAGAATAGGATGAGCACAGCCTTCCTCATAAGTGAAGAGCTCGTGTCTGTGGTATCTTTTGTAGGTTAGCTATCCTCCAGTGCTCTCATGGATGACGTTATCAGTTTTCACAGAGTAGTAGCTTTCCAGGCTAGAATATTCGTTATTCTGAGTCCCTGGGTGTAGCTAAGCATAAAATTTCATGGAGACACCTGCTTCAAGCACTGACTTACGCTACCCTTCTCTCCCCATCTCCTCTCTAAGTTTGCCTTCAAATAGTTAGTTCATGATACAGCTCATTGTTTTGTATGTTTCACGACAGTTAATACTTTAAGGCTATTTCAGTTGTTTGTTTCTGTTTGAATTTCTATTCATCTGTAACTGAAAAGCAGGGGGGGAAAAAGGCCTTTTACCCCATTGTTGTGTGTGCTTCTTAAATAGTAAAGACATTTTTAGAAATTAAAGTAATTTAAAGAAAGGTCCTAGTTCAGATCAGAGGAGAAAAGTGCTTCTGTTTCTCAAAACATCACAGATTGAAAGTTACAGATTTAGCTATGTGAAATTCAAGAGGAGAGTAACAATATTCCCAAATCTTAATTCCTTACTTTTTATTTAGCAAAAAATTGTGGATATTTAAATGGCTTTTCACCAAAATGAAAAATTTCTGCAGGAAAGGAAAAAAGTAATCAGTTTTTAATGATGGAGTATTAAAATTTTGAAAGCTGTGTCATTTGAGCTACAATAAAACACATACACTGAAGTTCTGATCGCAGTGGGAATCATCAAATAAAAATAGCTGGGTATTGTGGGAATACTTTGCAGAAAACTTGCTTTATTGTGTTAAAAGAAAGAAAAGAAGAATCTGTCTTGAGGGTTAGGGAGGGAAGGAACATTTTCTTTTTCTTTCTTTTTTTAAAGTACACTTAATCCACATACAATAGACACAAATAATACACAAGTATAAATAAATATGTTTACAAACAAATGTAAATAAAATGCATTTTTTTTCCAAATCTGTGCCTGTTAATCTTAGTGTCTATATATGATTAAAACCTCAATGTCATTATTTTCCACCTATGAGTTTTCTATTGCATTTTCTCTTTTCCAAATGAATAGTTGGGTAAGGAAGACGTTTGTTTCCTGCTCCTGTGACCGGACATTCCTGAAATAGAAGTGCAAACGTTATGGTGTTGCATCCATGTGTCTTGAGCATTAGACTGTAGTTCACCATTTTATACCACAAAGCCAGTTTGTTGTGTAATGCCTTTTTTAGTATAAAAGTTATATTGTACTGTGCAGCTTTGCAGTACAAATTTGTTGTTGTTAATAGGGTTTTAGTGATGTACTTCAGGTGAGAAAACTAGTAAGCCTTTGATTCATAGAAATAACTTTTTTTTTTCTCACTAATATGATCACTAGTCAAAATACTTCAATTAAGAATTCAGTAATTAACATCATAAAATACCTAAAAGCTGTGTTTATTTCCCAGTCCTATTCTGTGGCATGTGGCAGTGGTATTTTCTCAACCATAAGTTTTGGTCCAGTTATTTTTTCTTGTCCTTCTCATTATAGTGTGGCTCCGTTTATAATGCTGGATAAACTGGGCTGGAGTCTCCGTCCTTGGAGATATTAAAAGCCTGATTGAACATGGTCCTGGGCAACCTGCTCTAGTTGACTCTGCTTCGAGCAAGGGATTGGATGAGGCGATCACCAGAGGTCCCTTCCAACATCAGCTAGGCTGTAATTTCATAACATAGGTCCATAGCAATTAAGAAATAAGCTTTCAGGGGTAATCTGGGAACAATGCAAATTCGTGTAAATTATATCAGGTTGACCCATAAGCATTTAAAATTACATAAATCCACACATCCTCTCCCTCCAAATGAAATTGTTTCTATAAGAAATCATATGTGTATTTGTGTGAATGCTCAGCAGGCCTAAATCGAGTATTCACATCATGCTATGCTTTGGTAAAGATGTATTTTCCTCTTATATTAGTAGGGCATTATATTGCTGTGTTGTTTTATCCAGTTTTTAGCAAAATAAAGTCATTTTTGAGCTACATGTGTAGGTTTACATTTGAGACCACTGATGCAAATACTTGGTAATATTTGCATGCACAAGATACTTCCTTTGAAGACCATCAGTGATGACCTCTTGGGCTCCTTTGCAGAGATAAAAAACGTTTGTGTGATGAGTGTGCCAAAACTTGCACATGCAAAATGTGATTTTGCAGCTGTGTTTGAAATCGTCAGACACTTGACACATTGGAGTACGTCAGTAGAAACCCTGCTCTGACAACACATGCATTACATGTGTGGGAGCTCAGTCCTTCAAGGCAGTAAGCAAGCTCTGGTCTCCTGTACTTATTCTCGTAACATAACATTTTAAAGGGAAGAGTGGCTGTGATCCTGCCACAGTTACTCCTTGAATACCTTTGCTGATGGAGAATGCCAGAAAACATGGACTGTTTTAAATGGAACTTGAAAGAAAATATAAAGTGCTCCCATTACGGGCAGGTGCTCAAGGACAACCTTGCATAAGAGCTTGCAGCTGTTGCTTTCCACTGAATGTAAATCTACTAATTCTAGAAAAAAACCCACATTTCTTCCAGTATGCATCTGGCATGGTCTTCACTTCCGTAGGAGCAGTGATTGAAAAGAGACAAAGAGAAGCTGCTGGTTTTGTCCTAGAGCTTGGATTTGATAGTAGGTGTATAGCTGTGTGGTTTATGTCCAAATGCAAAAGATTAAGTACAAACATTTGAATACTGCAGAGGTGGAAGCTGTTAAGTACCTTAGAAAGGTATTGTCTGATGAAACATTAATGCTGTGTATGGCAGCATCTGACACTGGGAGGATTGTAGCTTGCCCTGGTGTGTGTAAATTCATGAAGCTAAGCTGATAGTACCATGGGATGACATGTGTTGGCACAGCTGAAAGTCCATTGCTGACTTACAGCATGAACTGCTGTACGCTGAAATACCAAGAGTTCATACACAAAATGAATGTGAAACAGCAGCAAATACATTGCTTGGTATGCTTGCAAAAAGGAAGCCAATAACAGGAAATAATTCTGTTCCTCTAACTTAATTTGGAAAAGCTGCGATAGATTCTGCAAGTAATTGAATTTTTCTTTTTTCACCCTCCCCTGTATGTTCTGAATTGTCTGTCTTCTTTCTCTGTATTGACATTGAAATTGTTGCCCCCGACAGCCACATCTTCTGCCTAGGCTTTTCTTTCTTTAAAGAGCCACGTTGGTAAAACGTTATTCTAGATGTGTGAAAATTAGGAGAGGTGCCATCAAATCACTTTTCCTGAGAATGCTGTGTTATTCTGTGTGGGTGCTTTGTTGGTTGGGTTTTTTTTTTCTTTTTGGTTTTTTTTGTTTGTTTGTTTGGGAGTGGGTTTTTTTGTGTTTTGTTTGTTTTTTTTTTTTTAAAGTTCTCTGTCTTTAATAGCATTTCTGCATAGATAGAGATGATGCAAAGTAATGGAGCTTTAAAGTATCTTAAATGGGTTAAAAATAATAGCATTTCCTCCCACTTTATTTGTTCTCATGTTTTGCAAGATAGGAGCAAACAAACCTTTTGGTTTGTTCTTTGATTTACCATTCCATTTGTCTTGTAAAATGCATGCCTGTGATGGTACAACCAGTTATCCTAAGAAATCAATCAGTAATTTTCTGATAGTTATATCAGTTTTCTTCTGGGTTTTGATAATATTTGGTTTATACCTTTTTGTTGCTACTGTATTTTATCCCCTTTGTAATAGCAGACTAACATGAAAAGTTCTTAGGTGAAGTAAAGGCCAGGGGCAGAATTGACATACTGAAATTTGAATGCTTGGCAGTCTCCTCTCTCTTACTTGCCAGGCCTTGGTTTTTATCCTCTGAAGCTGTTCCCTGAAGTCTTCATTCAAGACTCCTTCTCTGAGGACAGATAATATTCTTCTCCCTTTTTATAGCACAAATGATTGTTCTCAGTGTTTATTGCTTGTTTTCACTATGTTTTCAATTAAATGTGGGGTTCAGTAAAAGATTCCATTAAATACTTCATTTTAAAAATATCTCTCTTTTTTTTTTTTTTTTATCTTTTTTAAAAAGCCACAATGCTGGAAACCATTTCATGCTTTTAGCTGTGTAAATTACTTGGATGTTGCTAGAAGATGCATACTTGTTTAATGCATTATAACCAACACCACATTGAGTGTGAAGTATTTTGGGGTTTCCCCTTACAAAAGAATTGTTGAGAAAGTCAGTACTCCTGAGCAAGTTGCTATGCCAAGAAAGAAGTGATAATTTATACCTGCCACTGAAAAGTAGCCTTCTGATTGAAATTGTCCTTTTATAGAAATGTTTTTCACTATATAATAATGCTGATTTGGGTATGGCCAAGTATATAATAATTGGATATAAGTAGCATGCAGTTGTTATCTTTGCATTTTCTTTAACATATTCTGAATGTAAAAGTGGGATGATAAATGCAGATAAGAAAATAACTCCTCTATTTAATGCTATAGGACAGTAAAAACAAAATGGAGAATTTTGCTGAATAGCTTTTTGTTTTGAAGCCCTTGAGGATGTCTTTTGCCAAACTTTTAATTACTTTTATAAAAGAAGCTGTGGCTGCCCCATCTCTGGCAGTGTTTAAGGCCAGGTTGGATGGGGCTTTGAGCACCCTGCTCTAGTGGAAGGTGTCCCTTCCTGTGGCAAGGGGATTGGAACTAGATGATCTTTGAGGTCCCTTCCAACCCAAACCATTCTATGATCTATGATTACGATTAAAATGCTCCAAGAATTCAAGGACTGAGAACTGCAAGTAAAAGATATAATTTAACCTTGGAGATCAGTCAAAACTAATGTGTATGATGGAAGGTAGCTCAGGATGTCTTATGGTGATGGTACTTAGAGTACATCTTCAACTCTTTGGTTTCTAGATCTTTATCCATTTAGGGTCTGAAGTACCCTTAGTGACACAAGGAGAGGGACACCATTTTGCCTCACTTCTGTCACTTCATTACAGTACAGCTAAATGGACTGTATTAGCTTTGTTTATAGTGCTTGCTAAAGTTTTATATAGCAGGTAGTGAAAGAAGTCCTTCCCTTATATACAGGAATATACAAGCTAAGTTTGAACAAAACAAATGCAGATTTACTATATTGTTCATTGTTATACAGTTGCCTAAGTATATGTCTGTCTTCCTAAAGTATGAATTAGATTTTATTGGTGCATGTAATGCATAAGCATGCCGAAGGAAAGTTCATGTAAATAAAATTTAAGCACACAAACCTCCAGGCTTTCGGAATGAATGTGTTGTATACGTTCCTCAACACTTGTTTAATAAAATAACAGGCATATTAAACTTTTGGAGTGTAAGTAATTAGTAATCCATTGTAAATTTAAAAAAAAATCCCAATGTACATAAATTGTATACATAAATTAAGCTGAAGGTTTTATGTAAGTTTATTGGTATAGAAGACTGCTTAATTTCTAACGTAATACTTAACCTTACTAAGAATAGTGAATAGAGATATGAGGTTTAGGATCATCAAATTCCTAAATATTAAGTGTTCACAGAGTGGCCAGAGTCATACCTGTGTGAGCTAATGTAACTTGAAGTCACTCATAGATTTATATCATCTGTCATACTCAGCACTGAAATTTGGCTTCCTGGTTGGGATGTTGGAGCAGTAGTGTATTATTCAAGATTACAGTGTTGGTAGTCAAAAGTAGATCAAGCTAAGCATGAACTTTTGTTCACTCTTGTTTCTCTGTTTTGTTTTTTTTTTTCTCATTGGTTTTCTTTTTAAATATAGAACTTCAAATGCAATCAAAACTTGATTTCCATTAGGAGATAAAACACTGCAGATTTCACTACTAACATAGACTTCAGGGATGAAAGACCATATGTGTATACTTTGTTTTTAAAAGCTTTGTCCTACAGTATTCAGGTGAAGTATTTATTTGAGGTATTAGTCTGGATTTAAGAGAAAATTCTATCAAGGCAAGAGCAGAAAAAGCTAACATTTTTAGTTTCATTTTAGGAGGCAAGAGAGTAAGCTTGTTTAAGTTTTGCTTAATGGCGATCTCATTTCAAGTGAAACAACTGAGCTGAACGGATTAGGTTCTGACAGGCCAAATACTCAATTGCAGCATAACGTTTTATACCTCAGAGGGATTATCTTCCTCAGTATGCAGTGTTTGTCAGCTTTGTGATGTTTTCAGCTTCTTTCTGTCTCAACCAGTTTGTTATCTTTTGTGTCTGAACCATTCTATGGTAGTAAGATGAGGAGTTTAAATACTCTTAACAAGAAAGAAGCTGTTATAGAACAAACATAGCTTCAGTTGGTTATCTAAATAATTTTGCATTTCTAAATTTACTTTATATGTTCACTTGATGTCTGTCTAATTATATGTAACTCTCCACAGATATATTCTACTAATGAGTCTTCAGGATCGAAATGAAAAGCTTTTCTATAAAGTGCTGACTTCGGACATTGAAAGGTTCATGCCTATTGTTTATACTCCCACCGTGGGACTGGCTTGCCAACAATATGGTTTAGCATTTCGGAGGCCAAGGTAAGTAAGTGTATACTTCAAATACAAGTGATTGCATCTTATTTTCCTCTTGGCAGATTTCTGTAGGGGATTTCTAACATAGCTGAATGTAAGCCAAAACTGCAATAATTGAGATAATTCAAATTACACTTTTGGTGTACATTAATAATTTGTATTGCATTAAGCGGACAAATGGTTGGTTTAATTGTGTTAAAACATGGGTACATTTTTAGTCTCATTAACTTTTTTTTGAATCCTAGTTGCATATTACAAGACCAGAGAAGAATGGATCTTTAGTCTTAGAATAATTTACTTACGGACATCTTAAAAAATAATCAGTATTATCAAAGTGCCTGCCTCATTTCTTAGAAATTTATTGTTTCATAGGTTGGTTACTGGAATTCTTTTATTCTGTATACAATATCTGTATTTATAGAGTGATGAGGAAGTGGTATGAAAGAAGGGTATGTGTTTCTGTTTTACTCTGCACCTTGAACATCAGCTCACAGAGTATGAGATTTATGATGGTTCATGTTAGAGAACCTTGTGTGTACCAATGCCTTCAAGTGCAAACTGGAACAACACTTTGCAGCCTTCTGTACAATTTTCTGGCAAAGGAAGAGATAAATGGGCTGTATGTGCATAGCTTTGTTAACAGAAATAGATTTTTACAGTTAAGGCATTGATGGAAAATAAGAAGCTTGCAAGATGAAAGGGAACAAATGACTGCTAACAAAAAGGTATTTGAGGGAGAAGACTTATGGCTTCAAGGTTTTGTTATTGTTAATGTAAAAATCATTTTGGCCTTGTGACTGACAGAATGAGTCAGGACCATCTGGCCAACTGCAGAAAACAAGAATTCCCACTTCTGTACACATGAAAAAGTTCAAAAAGACCTCAAGAATGCTTACTTAAACCTGCTTAACAATCTGGCTTTTAGGTATCTGTCTTAGTTAAAGAATTCATCTCCTTTTTCCCCCCTCGGTATTTACCACCATGGTGATTTTGTTGCCCTTGAAGGAAGTGCTAAAATGGAAATTAAGTCTTTGCCTAAACTGGTCTCATTGCCCCTTGTTTTTGATATTCAGTGCTGTATAAGATACTGCACAAGGAGTACCTCTGCCCATGCATGTACTTCTCACTTTCTTCCTAGACCTGTGGAGAAAAAAAAACCTGTTAAATTAGACAACAGTTCAGCTGTCAGTCTGCAACTGATGAGACACAGCTTGCAGAGGCAACTGAAACAACTCACCAGATTTTGAGACTCCTGATCTTTATTCCTTAATCTGATCCTTAGCACACTCTAGACATGGGTTAAAAACTGATTGGGGAGTTAGGGACAGGGAGAGGGAGCACTTCAACTTTTTGCCTTTTTTTTTTTTTTTAAATTATTATTTGATGGAATTTTTATCTGCAGAGAACTTAGATGCCTAAATCTTTCTCCTCTAGATATTAAGACTAAAATCCTAGTTCGCATAGCTCTGTCACTAGTAAATTTATCTATATATATATTTTTTCCTCCCCAAAAAGTGTTCATTTCCTGATTGAAAATGAGTAAATTCAAGGCAGATTATACTACTGAGTTGATTTCTTTATCATTGAACTTAAAATTTATATAGGTTTATAGGACATTCCATAATTTAGTATTTCATACTGTGTTTTTCACTGCAGTTGAGCTGCTAATGAATGAATGACATTTTAAACAATATTCAATCATGTCTTAACTGATAGGTCTTTTGGTATTCAGTTGCATCCTTGAGGTACTGAAGTCAGCCTTGGCTGTATTCATCTGTCTGCTGCTTCCCCAACTACATGTGTGCTTTATATATATGACTGTCTGGAGAGACGTACAAGATATTTGTAAAAGTCTGGATTTATTTCTAGTCCTGCCGGATTGCCTCACTAGTTTCAAATATGTGTTTTTAATGACTAATTGAAGTAAATACGCCTGAAAAACTTGTACAATCTTCTGTCTCACAAATATTTTTATTCTTATGAAAGAAATGTCATCTGCCAAGTCAGATGCTTATTCTTCCCTGTAAAATTCCCAACTGTTATGTTCACATTGTCTCACTACCTACTCTGATTTTCGCCCACCACCCAGCTGATGCCACTGTTTATCAGAGGTCTTGGAGGAAAGGGCTAGAAAGAATTTTCCTTTTGACAGACACTTTGCTGCTTAGGAAGTACCTCTCCTTTGTGATCTTCCACTGTGCTCTGTTACAGAGATCTGGTTTTTCCTAAGAAAAACCTTTTCTAAATTATTCCAAAATCAACTGTCCAAAGCAGTCAATTTCATTTGGTTTGAAATTATATTCTAGACTGTGACTCATTCAGTATTAAGCATTATATACCAGCATATCTCACAAACGGCATCCTCCATGAATTGTACTCACAGAGAAGAATTTAACATACAGAAGGAGAAAAGGAGTAAAAGATATAAACTCTTGTCCAGTCTATACATTCTCATGTTTTTTATTAATTGATTTTTTCAGTTACAATTCATGAGAAAGGTATGACCTTATCATACCTTTAAAAAAGTCTAATCTGTAAGAATTGTGTGTATCTGCTTTATGCTGACTTGTATCTAAATGCTGTCTTTACTAGTAAATGAATGTTTTTCTTTCAGAATGTTTTTTATTTCGGAATATTTTTATTACTGTCTCTTCCCACAGCTCAGAAAATGTTTGATATTTCATAGTTAGAGATCTCATTAGAAACAGACTTGTTTACGTAGGCAAATAAGTTAAAAATTGCCCAAGTGCTACAGCTTTTATATATCACACTAGAAGCTGCAAGGCAATGTCTTACTATGCAGTTTAAATCTGTAAGGGTTTGTTTTTTCCATTAGATTTGTTTACGTTGTGAAGTGAGTTTCAAACCCCTGGCTCACAAGTTATGTCTTCAGGCAAGGAATAATGGAAATTAATTTAGGGCTTAAAAAATAGGTGTCGCATGGATTATTAAATGAGATCATCTTCTGTGACTCCCTTACATCTTTTGAGAAGACTATATGGGCTCACATGATGTGCTTACAGTTATAGGGGGATACTGTGGCTCAGGCAAGAAGTTTTTCATCCTGAAGCAGTATTTTGCAATTATAGAATAAACATTCATGGTTGACCAGCTGACCGTCTGATTAAGAAACATTTCTCAAGAGAGCCAGCTGCAAAGTAATTTGACTCACTGGTTTGAAGCTTGCCTTCGTAATTGACATTTGTTTGTAAAATTAAAACTCAACTCAAGATTACGTCCAGCTTAACTCATTCAGCTTAAAAATTCAGCATATTTAAGCTGAATATTCAGCTTAAAATGCACCAGTTTTTAGAATAAGAGTGTTATTCCTGAACTAAACAGTACAGATGTGATAGCAGATCTGTAACATGTGCCTACCTACACCACATAGTTCCAGAAACGTAATTTAGAAGACCAGTCTCACTAATCTTCGTCACAACCATTGAGGAGAATGGGAGAAGAAAGAGGCTTCTCCAGGGAGTAGGTCAGAAAAGGAATTTGGACCTGGACAGAGAAAAGCTTTGAAGGCTTATGCTGGGAATGTAATGGAGTTGTGGTTTTACTGCAGTGATCACGCTATCAGTAAGAGCATTATCTCAGAATCTCTTCTAGGGGGTCGCTTTGTGATGCGCAGTTTCTATCCATCATTTAAAAATAAGGTCCTGAAGTAATAAATTCTTCAGTTGCACAAAGCATGTCCATACATATGACAACTTTTACTGACTTACCAAGAAACAATCTATTTCTATAAGTGGATTTCTGAAATATCAGTTCTTTCATCCAAAAAGAATAAATATGGGAAATCTCAATGGAAATTTCCTCTAAGAATCCAAAATCAACTTTTTATGTTGTATAGAGAACACCCAGGAGTTTAAGGTTCTTGTGTAAACTCAGCATTCAGAGACAGGAGCAAAAATTGCCAAGTATAGCTCTGCTAAAGACTTTGAATGCTGTTAAAATGTTAGGTGACTGTTTATGTGTTTCCTTCATTTCCTTTTTCCTAGAAGGAAAAGCCATTTCAAACAGAATATGAACATAGCCAGCCCTGGTAACAATTGCAGCCACACAGGCATGGCAGAGTTCCTCTGAAATAACTTCCTGATTTAATCATACTTTGTCAAGCTAACTAGGAATGATTTTTGAAGTAACCATATTGAATCTGATGCTGCATATTGAAGTTACAGATGCAGTCTCTTAAAAGGCAAAGTATGTCATCCTGAGCTTTGAAGTTATTTTCTGTATATAAGCAGACCTTGTTCAGCAAACTATTCTCACAGAAGCTTTCTTCTTAATAATTCTTTCAACTCTTGTCTTTTCTCTTGTTTTCCTTCCTCACAAAAGACTAGCATATCTACAGGTCTCTTATTCACCCCAAGTCTAAGCAAGATTACATTTTGAATTTAGTTTTAACATTTTGAATTGACTTTTAATGAGTATTTAAAAATTTTGTTTGGTTTAGCTCTTTTAATATTTTTAGAGAGCACTTGGAATGTTATTAACAGTCTTTAGCAACTTTTCAGAAGCTGATTTGTCATGCTTAATACTCAGTTTACAAATGCTGTGTTATACCAGATTGCTGCCATATTGAAGTGCAGGACTGACTGAGCACATACAAATTTGAGATAGGTTCCTTTCCTCATATTCCTCAAAAGGAGTATATTTATTTCTATTTATTGCATGTATTTGCATTTACAGTGGTTCAGATGCACTGTACTGAATGCAAGTGCTGCAAGTGAGAGTTCTTTTTTTGTTAACATAGTAACGTTTACATATTGAGATTGTCAGCTGCAAGATAGCATCTTTTTTTATAAGGAATATTAATTAGAGAATAGGGAAATATTTATTTGCTGTGACAGAACATACAAAGACCTCGGCGGCGGAAGCTGCAGTCTGTTTGCCATCACAAGGTTGATCCTGTGGTACATTTCATAATTTTTTTGTGGTTTTTAATGAGGCTTTCATTGGAGGCTAGATTTTTCTTTTTCTTAATTCCATTGGATGCTTTC